GCAGGTTCTTGAAGCAGGCTGTCAAGCAAGCTAGGTTTGATTATCACAGAAAGAGAATGAAACGCTATTCTCATAGGGTGTTTGTTGTAATAAAATGATTTGAAAGAACTCCTTTTGTGTGAGTTTTTCTTCTTTCAAGGTTTGATCGCTTATTAGGTAATTTTAGTGAAAAAGCTGTGATATATATTTATTTCAGTACAGCGTTGCATGACGGAATAAATGTCAGTCAAAGTACTGCAGCGCTGAACACTGAAAAATGGCCTGGCCAGGAAGGGGGTCTAAACACCTGGTCTTCTAGCGGTTAAATAGAGGAATTTGGGTAAATATATCATTTGCATTAGTTTGATTCTACCAGTTGATTTAATGGGAGCGAATGATGACTCAGGCCACGCTAGGAAGAGGAAATCTACTGATATAATTGTGAATAGTTATCCCTAAGTATTTGAAGCTTTTAACTTCCTGGATTTCGGAGTATGCAATCTAGGGATATAGTAAGATGGATAGGAAAGGCAGTTTACTTTTCCCTACTTACCCTTAGACATAAGGCATGTATGAAGCAATCAACAAAGTCTAGAAAGGATTTAAAGGATCTTTTATAAATACATGCATAGTAAGCATGTAGAGATATTCTCTTACTCAGGGTTTCCCACCTAATGCCTGCCAAGGGTTCCTTTACCAAGGTGAATAGAAATATGGAGCGTGGGCTGTACAGGTGTTTTCTCTTCTGGAGAGGCAAATATGTTGGTATACCCTCTACCCACTTTGCATGACTTATCGTAGGTATACCACGTGAATGAAGTTGAACAATAATATCAATAGATGACATAAAGGCAGATTGTTGCAGTTGCTAGGCTGTATAGGTACATGACTAGGATAAGACAGGTTAGGTATATATGATTCACATTATTAGTATTATAGCACTCCAGTGATTAGCCATTAAGACCTGGTGTTGCATTTTCAGGGTAGAATCGGAACCCTTCCTCTATCTCTTCCTGGATATTTGGGAAATCTAAGTTGTCGTTACTTACTGGTACATTGTGGGAGTTGTATTGGGATTAGGAAGTTCTTGATGGCACTCACAGTAGGAGTCTAGTCTGCTGGGTAAAGATGCATGAAATATTACATTAATTCCTATAGGAACCGAACCTGAAGAAACATGTACAGTTGGAAATCACATGCATTAAAAAATTTAATAGTTCATGGATATTTTGGTTAGACTGGTTTTATTTATACTTGTTTATGAAGCTAGTCCTGCTTTATACTTATATATTAGCTTCCATACTGACCTCGCCAGAATCAATTATAGCATATTCTTTTGCTCATACAGCTACCTTTAGCTCTTTGTTTCTTTTGATCATGGAACTATTACCTATGGATTGTGATAAATGCTTTCTCTGGATGCAATCTGTGGCCAGGGACAAGCATCTAGCCTGAGCCGCAGGTAATTGTTCCTTGTACAATTACATATGGACAGATGCGGATGCCTGTCAGCCTGTCATTCACTTGGGCACCACAGTCGCATCTGTATGGACCCACATGGGATTCCTGCCACAAGAATCTGCAAGTTCTTGCCGCAGTAATCCCCAGCCACAAATAATAGCCTTGTGTGCATGTAGCTTTAAACGTATCCCAGTGTGTACAGTATAGGGGTATTTTCCTGCCAAAATAGTGTACTTTTTACTGATCACATCAGTTAGAAATCCAGGGAGGTTTAAGACTTCAGAGGTGAAATGAGGGTCGATGGCCTAGCATTAGAGACAATCTAATAGGGAATTTGGCCTCAAACATCTGTGGTAATATCTACTTAATTGTAATGGCATGGTCGGCTCTTGACGAGGATCTGTATGTTTTGGATTGATACGAGGATTCTTTAGCGCACAGATTCTTCTATCTCCATATATCTATAAGTTCATAGACATTATACCAATTAGCAAGAATGATTATTTTCTGACCATGTCTCAGTTTGGATGGGTCCAAAACCCCTAGTTGAAGTTCCCAATAAGTAGAGTGAAACAAGATGGGAAGGTGGCATCATGTAACCCGCAATTTGTAATTGTGCACTTAACGGAAAACAATAAAAATTTGTCTGACTTTTTAGGTACTTCAGAATTCAAGTAGGCATATGCCAATATAAAATGACAAAAGTATTTATTTCATTCCATTAAAATCATCAATGTATAATTGATACAGTATACAGACATACGTTAAAAACATAAAAGAGAATGTAGCCCCAAGGTCTCATACTTTTTCCTTGTAACACATTAATCATTCCCATCAGTTTTTCTTTGACGGGCGCAATATACCATTGGGGTCCTTCAGACATAATACAAATATCCTCCATTGCACATCCTACATGCAATGTAGTTGACAAGGTTAATTGTTCGAGAAGATAACTCCACGTTTCATGGTAAAATCCGTTGCTCAGGAGAGGGTTACACATATTGTAAAACAATATAAGCATATGTTTAATTATACCATAACACATTTATAATTCTACACATAACATAAATAATGTTCAATTCACTACATACTTGAGAAATTGAATATTCTCTCAGCAGGCTATTTATAGATCCCAGGATACCCAGATGAGGAGGTACTAGAGGGACACCTAAAGATCACCAAAAATTGCAGAATATTGCACCTAAACTAATCACACACCTGGATCAATCAGTCTCCAATCATAACTCTAATAATAAATTAAATTACTACTTTACCTTTTACTATTAAGTAGCTGGTATTACATCCATGTGAGACAACAGCCTGTTCTTTTTATGCTTTTGAGAGAGCTGAATCACAGGGTTTGAGGGAAAGCCTCCTATTATCTATCCTAAATCCCAAAATAGGAGAGATAGAACAAAAAGAAAAGATAAGGACAAATGGCAAAGCAATATTAAAGTGTAATGGCGTCAAATAAATGAACCAGATACAAAAAAAGACCAGAAAGGCGGGCAATGGCGTGGGTAAAAATGGCCAAAAAATGGTGGCATAATTTGTACTACACAATCTAAAATAGCATGGTGTCCTCCATAATCTGAAAATGTTTCTAGACACTCAAATTATTGTTTATGAAAAAGAATTGATACACCCCTCTCATAACAGAAGTGCATGGCACGAAACCCCGACCAACCTAGTATTTTTTACTCATTAATTGGTTCTCTGTAAGACCAAGGATATGGGGGACATGTGTTTTTGTAAAGTTAAACATTCTGGTTCTTTTGTAGTGTAGTGTGTGATCCTTTACATTCCATGAAATTTTAGTGACTGTAGATACAATGTTGGTGGAGAAAAAACATAGGGAAATAGCAGAGTCTTCCGAGTTTCCCATGATCCTTTTTCATATAGAGTAGGGAGTCCAAGGGTGAGGTAGGAGGGTGAGGTAAAGTGTTTATTTCGAGTTACCATACCTATATTGGCCATAGTAATTTGTATGGAACTACATTAGTATACATCATATCCACAACATCAGGTATACCAAAACATAGAATATTTCTTTTTTTTTTAAATGTCCCAGCAACATGCCAAAAACAGTACTGTACAGGCTACACGATTTAAACCAAGATAATTAACAATCCTGTTAGTATTGCTCACCATGCACACTACAGTAAGTCAAAATACACGCTGCAGCAGACCAGGCCTATTAAAGCTGAACTCCAGTGTTTTTTTTTAAAGCGACCATCAGCTTATAGTAGAACTGTAAATGCCAGGTCCGTATGGCATACTGACCTGGCCAGCTGGAAGCACTTTTGTAGGTCCGTATGCCATACGTCTTTGGCAGCGAAAGGGTTAAATGTATTGCTCTGCAGTCTAAAAAAGTGGACTTTGCTGCAATACTCACATTTATTCAGGAGCTTTCCCTGCAATAATTGCCCCTGGGTGACCTTGTTCTTTTGGGATGAATTATGGCTGTTATCATTCAGGGTAGTGCCTGCTCAACTACCTGTACAAGCATCCCCTAGGGATGCAGTGCGGTTGTATGTGCACTGTTGAGTGTTTGATCTGGATCTGAGGTCCATAAAGCTTTGGCACTGTACCAAGAAGTAAAAAGTAAATTTTCATCTTGATGCTGCTATTCTGCAGTTATGTCCTAATCTAGTCATTATGCAGAGTGCAGAATATTCTCTAACGAACCCCTCCCACTATAAAAGCATCAACAAACTGCTAAAATAAGCACTGAACAAATAGTCAGCTTTGGGAATCTTTAGTGAAGGCAGTGCTATATTAGACAGCATCTTCCTGCTGAGATAAATTGGGAGAAAGAAGATGATGATTTGGTCCTTCTGTAATTTACTGGTGGAATAATGTGGTGCATGCAGGTGCACTGTGTGTAAAGGGCAACAGTTTACTCTGGCTTCCCTGCTGTTCTTGGATTTTGCAGTGGATTGCCATGAGGTTGTTTCCCTAACCCACGTGCTAGGCGGAAAACTCTTAGCAGAACAAATAGTTTGTGTCTGAAGAGTATGTTGTTATAATCAAATGGTAAGTGCCATGGCAGATGGGAGATTTATTTGCAGCAATCTTCAATTGCCTCAATTCAGTGATCTTTCTAAGGAAATAATAGTTATTTCCTAAATCGCTAATTTTACAGTAATTTTTGGTTGTCTGTCGGTGATTGAGTTTGAGCAGTGTGCATGTGTGCGTCAAGATTGCCAGCCACAATCGCTCTTCTTTCACCTCTGTGGCTTAGCTAGGAAACGCTGATAGAAAATGATTTGTAGCAGAGCACGCCATCCCAATGATGTAGCACTAGTTAAACTTGTAGCAGCCGCAAGTTGCTTTTTTAATAGTGACTCTAGCAATTAAATCACTTGCTACAATTTGCTTTAATAACATTAGTGGTTTGTATCCGTGATTTAATCTGCATCCAATGCTGGCTGCAGTTTACAGAAAAATATGAGGGATGTGGAGAAAATTTGGTGAGGTGTGACATCTGATTCTTCCAATGAGATGATAAACAGGTTTAATAAATTGCTAAATATTGACAACTGCTTCTGTATTCACAGACATGCCACTTCTAGAAGAACTTACCTTAGAAAAGGTTTTAGAAGAGTTAGAGATGCTCTGCCATGAAAACATAAGCCTTGCTATTGAAAAGGAAGAAGGGCTGGGGATTGAATATGATGAAGATGTCGTCTGTGATGTTTGCCGGTCACCAGAAGGAGAGGATGGGAATGAGATGGTTTTCTGTGATAAGTGTAACGTCTGTGTGCACCAGGTAATTTATTGTATTCATGCATGCATGCATGCCAATTACTTTTCATTTTGTCTATGAATATCTATGATGAAGCATCTAACTTACACACTTAGATATAATTAGCTCCCTTTATCTGTCGCCTGCCTTTCTTGTTTATTTTTCCTATATTAAGCTTCAGACATGGTGTAAAATGGAAGATATCTTCTGAAGGGCAAGATCAGATTTAAGATTGGCTGATCCTTCCCTTTCGCAGAGATCATATGACGAACTGCCTAGGCTTTGGTCACAAGACCATCACAGGAGGGAGCATCAAGAAGCATTTTTCAGAAACAATATTTCTGCCTGTTACTGTTTACAAATTATTTGTTCACTCAATCAAGATTGTTAATGTAACTTTATGTTTACATTTGTGTATAGGTGTGTTTTAAGCACTGCTCACACCTGTTGTCTCTCCTGTATTTTTTTAGAAACAACATATTCTGCAGCCACTGTCAGGCACGGATTTCCCACAAGGCCGCAACTCCTCCCCTGAGCTGTCAGATATAGGGCGCGAGGTATGAATCCACCGGCGTCCTGTTAATGTGGATTGACGCCGGTGGATTCATACCTTGCCGTCTGCTTGTTATCTCCTGTGTGATAGCAATAAAGTTAGGTAGGGAAAAAAATGACATTGCTTTAAAAAAAATGTAAATAAAAATGTAAAAAAAATTCCTGCCGCCCTGCCATCTGGTTGCCATTCACAATTGATGGGGAGGGGGGGTTGGCGGGTGGGGCGTATTGTGGAACCTGGCCTTAGGGCGGCAGGGAGAGTAAATCCGGCCCTGGCCACTGTGAAACCTGTTGTACGGGTTGAAGGCTTAGGAGCAGTGGATAAATCTCTATTAATTATGTATTTCAATAAAATGTTCAGCTTTATGAATTTGGTGTAATGAAGGATATGCCTGTGAATATTCATGCATTTCCATATGTCATCTTTGTTTTGCTCATGGTTTTTTGGGGGGTTTTTTAGCATCTACTTTGCTTGCTTCTCATTTACCTTGAACTTGGTACTTTCTAAAACCAGTATGGATATATTATTCTAACAAGTATAAAATCAGACGTGAAATTGATTGTGATGTGAAACCTTTGGTACAATTGTTCTTTACCCACTTGCTGACCGGGGTGTTAAACCCCCTTCCTGTCCAGGCCATTTTTCAGTATTCAGCGCTGTTGTACTTTGACGATTATTCAGCCATGCAACGCCGTGCTAAAATTATATTTATGGGACCGATAGAGCTTTCTTTTGGTGGTATTTAATCACCACTGGGTTTTTTATTTTTTTAAATTACCGACAATTTAGAAAAATAACCTGTTTTCCCTATGTTAAGCAATGAAATCTTGCACAAAAAATAATCTTTCTTCATAAATTTAGGCCAAAATGTATTCTGCTACACTTCTTTGGTAAAAACAAAACCCAAATAAGTGTATATTAATTACAATGTGTGAAAGTAATACAGTCCACAGACTATGGTATATATATTTGAAATGTATCAACCATGGTGCCCTGACTGCTTATCGCATTTCTTGAGGCACTAACATTTTGGAAATAAAATACTCCAAGGTATTTGATAAGATGCATGCGGAGTGTTCAAGTTTTTTGGGATAAGGTATCAGAAAATGAACTCCTTGCCGTCCGCCCATCGTAAAATACAGGCGGACGGTGGATCCTTCCCAGCGGGTGGACTTTTTTTTCTCTGCTCGTGCGCGCCCCCTAGCAGAGTCCCGCCAGGAAGGTTAACAGCTGTTACCGGCTGTTTTATACAAGCGTTCGGCCAGCTATATCCCTGTAGTGTGCGCCGCCCCCCATCTCCTTTGCCGGGACCGGTTATCCCGGGCACCGCAGGGGTGGTACCGAGAAGGCCGGCTCAGCGGCTGCTTGTAGAGAGACAGAGGTGAGATCAGCATTTCCCCCACCACTGATCTCTCCTCCTTCTCTCTCTAAAGTCGAAAGTGATGTCTATTACATCACTTTCGCCTTTAGCTGTCATTTCTATGGCTGAGAGCCAGAGAAGAAGCTGATGAAGCAGATCTATGCTTCATCAGCTTCTTTGGGGGTCCCTAGGTGACAGGGGTTTTGGGGACCCCTGATGTCTCCATAAAGAGGACCTGTCATTTTTTCTAGCTATTACATTGGGGGACTTTTTAGCCCCCTATGTTATAGCAATCAAGTTAAGTGTAAAAAAAGAAAAAGTTTTTAAATAAAAAAATGAAAGTCTCAAATTAAAAAAAAATTAAAAAACACCGAAAAATGTTTTAAGTCCCTCGACCCCGCGCGCACGCACTTATACACGTAAGTACGCGTCAGGTGCGCCTATGTGCGAAAACGATGATTATGCAGCACATGTTACATATCGCCGCGAATGTCGGAGTGAAAGCAATAATTCTATGCCCATCAATTACTGATAACACTAAAACGATGAGCGGTAAAAGCTTTTAAAGCATTGACTATGGCCAATTTTAGGCATGGGGCGCACACAATTTTAACCCCTTCGTGACTGACGACGTACAGTGTACGTCGCCAGCATCGGGGCTGTTTAAACAGACTCCCGGCGACTTTTGCCGCCAGGAGTCTGTTTAAACTTGTAGAGCTGACTGTCGGCTTTACAACAGAAGCGATCCTGGCGACTTACCTGTCGCCAGATCGCTTCTGCGTCCCGAAGAAGGGGCCGCCCCCCCCCGCCGGACACCCCCCCCGTGCTTCCCCGGCTCCCTTGCCCC